GTATGGATTGCAACTCAATATAAAGAAGGCAAACATCCTCACAACTGGTCTAATAAGCTGTTGGTCTTTTCTCCATCATGATCAATAAAGAAAAGTTTGAAGTTGTCAAAGATTTCATTCTACTTGGATTCACAATCAAATGTCCTTGGAAGCAGAGATCAGAAAATCAAGTGATACATTGTATTGGGCATATCTGCGGCAAGTGACCTCTTTATGTATTAAAAAGTAAAGATATCCCTTTGAGAACTAATGTAAACTCTAGAAAATGAATAAGGAAGACAGAAGAATTGATGCATTTCAATTATGATGTTGGCAAAGAATATTGAATATACCGTGAACTGCCAGAAATATGACAAAATCTGTCTTGGAATAAGTATAGCCAAAATGTTCCTTAGAAGGGAGGAATGAAGAGACTTCTTTGTATGTACTTTGGTCATGTTATTATGAGGGGACCTTTCCCTGGAGAAGGATCTCAGCTTAGTAAAGTAGGTGGTGGTGGCTGTGTGCCATGGAGTCGGTTCCAACTCATAGCCACTCTGTACCGGGTTTCCGAGGCTGTAAATCTTTACGGGAGCAGAATGCCTCATCTTTCTCCCGCAGAACAGCTGGTAGTTTTGAACTGCTGACCTTGCAGTTTGCAGCCCGATTCATAACCACTATGCTACTAGAGCTCCTTAGTAAAGTAGAATATGACGAAAAAGAGGAAGACACTCAACAAGATGGATTGACACAGTGATTACATCATTGGGCTCACACTTAGCAATAAATGTGAGGATGACACAGGACTGGGCAACATTTTGTTCTTTTGTACATAGCACTGCTGCTATAACTTGTAACTGACTAGATGGCACCTAGCAACAATAAGATGGTAACTCTGTTTAGCCTTTTGAGGAACTGCCAGAGAATACCCTGAAAAGATTTGCTTCCAAATCTCCTGGGATCTGAAACTGATAGTCTGTTGTCAGTGAAATATCTTTTTTGAATTGCTGTCTTTTTTTGCTGGGTGGAATGGGCTAGGAGAATACAGTCCTTACAAATGTTCTTAATATTACTACTCTTATTAAAGCCAAAACTCAAATGTCACTGCTTATAATAAGATAATGGTATGCCAGGGTTGATCATCGATATTTTATGCCATGTTTGTGTGACTTTCTTCTTGTTAGAAAGTTAAGACTTCTGTTTTTATTCAGTAGGTAGGTAAGTCTACCTAGCTGCCTTTGACTAAATTGAGACCCATTATTCAACCCAGGAATAAAAACTGATACTTGTTTGGTACTTTACAGTGCATGGAATACATTTTTAATATCTTTATTGTTTTATCTCAAATAATAATACTTCTTAGAAAAAAAATTGGACAATATAAAAGCCATCACTTAGAAAATGAAAGTTAGTTGTCCTTAATTTGCTCCCCTGCCCCTAGGGTAATCAGTAAAATTCCCTTTTCAACCTCTGCTTTTTTTCAGTCCTCATAGCAGTCTTATCTGGGCTAGGGATTAGCAAAAACAATTTGCCAGAGACAAAGCAGAACACACAAGAGTCTGCACACTTCCCCTTCAGCTGTCAGGTGCTAGAGCCTACCCTCAAACATAGGCCGTGACAAGCCGGAATTACCGCCCTTTATAGAACCAAAGGTCCTGATGAGCCAGCCCCCAGCCCAGCCCCTCCCTGTATTTGGCTCGTTCTCTCTGCCTTTACTTTTGTCTGATCCCTTTCGGGGATAGTCTGTGCTTCTTAAGGGTTGTTTAGGCCAGCTCTCTCTCCCCCCAAAAAAACAACAACAACAAAACAACAGACAGATGGCTGGAGGGTAGCATATTACCAGTCCTTTGCAGGAGGATCGGCCTCCTATTGTACCCCTTCACACATGCACATTACAGGTACACATGCTTATTCAGGTATATATATATATATATATATGCATACCCTGTGCTTGTACATGTATCTGTGTGATGGCTTCCTGTAGTATCCAACTGTTCTCACAAAATGCAGAGTTGAAGATGGTGAAGTGAAGTAGGTCTTAGCTGTTTCCTTTGCGTTCCTACGCCACGCCCAGTAACATGGCCCAGGGAAGCTTGAATTTGCACCATTTCTTTATGTGGTTGGAAAGTATTCAAAGAAATGTTCTGTTGGTGGAACAAGAAAGACGTCGTGTTCCCATTCATCCTGTAAGTCTTGGTAGTTTCCCAGCTTGGATTCCCGTGACCTGTCTAGAAATCATACTGTTCCACTGTACTCCACAAGCTCTCATTGACTTGCTCCTCCATGCCTGGCTCTCATGGGGATTTGGGTGACTGAGGGATGCATGTAATTAAGAAGCTCAGGGCAACACAGGTAGTGCCACATTAGAGGGAGAGGAGGGCCCACAAACAAGGTGAACTCCTCATAGCAAGGGACATGTGGTTTGGTTTTTCTTTACATCTCCTAGCAAGGGGTGCAGTGGTAACAACCTATGCACCCCTGAGGCAGGTACACTTGTTGGCTGTGAAACTATGTCTTTGATTAATAAATGGGGGACATGTGATATGGCGGGATCAGATTGGTTTGTTGAGTGGTCCAGGCTTTCATAATGTAGGTTCTGTGAAGAGAACTAATGAAAAACAGTCTTTGATGGGAAGGGAGGGAGTTTTTGCTTAGCAGACACTGTGCTTCTGTTAAGAGTAATGGAAAGATTTGGAAATGGATAGTAAAGTAAGAATGGTTGTACAACAGGGTGAACATGATTAACATCACTGAATTGTACATGTAAAGAATACTGAAGTGGCTAGTGCTTTGTTATATTTATGTTGTTATTTGCTGTCAATTCCAACTCATGGTGACACCTTTGTTGCAGAGTAGAACTGCTCCTTAGGGATTTCTTGGCTGTAATCTTAATGGAAACAGATCTAATACAGAGAACAATCTTTTTTAAAAAATATTTTTAAAAGGGGGAGTGGTGGGCTTTGTGGGCATGAGCTGATCCTTGGCTTGGCACATCCGTCACTTCCTCCTCCAGTATGGTAATCTGGTGTGGCTCCATTACTTGTGGGCTACATCAAAAGTAATTATTACTAATCATAACTGAACTTTCAGAATTTACAACTGGTTTACTTAAAAATTAGGTCTCATGTAAGGTCATTTCTGAAAAAATTTTCTCATATATTGACATTGCAAAGTGCTCTCTGCAGGGGAAGAGAGAAGGGTGGTACCAAACCTTGCTGGTCCACACACCAGCACCAGAAGCATCACCTGGGAGCCTGTTAGAAATACAGTCTCAGGTCCCACCCAGAGATGCTGAATCAGAATCTCTAGAGTGGGCTCAGGAATCTTAATTTTATAAACCTTCCATGTGATTCTTTTGCATGGGTAAGTTTGCAAAATGCTGGCATGGAACCACTGCTCCAGCATTGTGAATGTCATCTGTGACAAGGTTGGGATCTTCTGGTCTAGACTCTGCCCCTTGGTAATTGCAAGGACTGTTGCTTTTTTGGTCCTTTTGTATATAGAATATGGCCACTATTCACTGGTCTTTGTTGTAAGTCAAGTTCTCTGGGAAACCGACTCTTGATATTACTTAGCAAGAAGTGTATTGGTTGGTGCTCTCAGAAGCAACACTGCAAGAAAGTGTAGGAAACTATATTGGGCAGAGGAAAGTGTTGAGAGGTGATGCAGTCTCAAATGTGGTCCCAGTTGGTCCTAGAAGGAGCTCTAGAGCAGGGATAGCCCTTTGAGGCAATGTTGTTATTGCTGTTGTTAAGTCCCTTTTGAGTTGGTTTTGATTCATAGCGACCCTGGATAGGGTTTCCAAGGAGTGGCTGGTCAATTTGAACCACTAACCTTGCGGTTCAAACTGACTTTGCATCCGGTGCATTATTCCACAGCACCACACCAGGACTCCTTGAGGCAATGGCACTGGTTTTTCATGTTCCCACATTAGTCAGTCATTGGATCTGGGCCATCTCAGGAGGGTTATAACCTTGGGTAAGGCATCTCAGCTGAGGGCATTGCCCAGAGAAAGATGTATCTGGGAGCAAACAGCAGCCAACACTTCCAGCAGCTGGGGGAATGAATGAGTCCATTAGTTTAGAAGAAGGATCAAGCAGCTTGTTCTGTACTTTTTATAGATAGTAACCATTCTGACCTTTAGCAACCCCATGTGTGTCAAGAGTAGAGCTGTGCTCCATAGGGTTTGCAGTGGCTGGTTTTTGGAAGTGAATCACCAGCCCTGCTTCTGAGATGTCTCTGGGTAGACTCCAACCTTTTAGTTAGTAGCTGAGCATGTTAACTGTTTGCACTATCCAAGGGCTTCCTGTGGACATTGTTGTTTGTTGTTCTTAAGTGCCGTTGAGTTGATTCTGATTCACAGCGACCCTATATAGGGTTTCCGAGGAACAGCTGGTGAGTTTGAACTACCAACTTTGTGGTTAGCAGTGCAGTGCTTATCCTACAGAACCATACCAGGAGTCCTTGTAAACATTAAAATGACCTTAACATTACATTTGAATTTCTGTGGGTGAATCTGTGTCTGCAGTCTCACAGTTTGTCATAATCCCCCTGAATGGTTTTCTGTTGATGCTTGGCCCACACAGCTGGTCTTCATTGCTGACCTTTTCTCAGACCCACAGTTTGAAGTCATGAGAATAATTGCTGGGCTAATAGTGAAAAGCGTGGGTCATGTCATAAGCTGTGCCATCTCTAGTTATCACATTACGTAATGTTTTGGGGCAAAGCCTCAGATTCCCTGCTTGTCAGCGGTGGTGTTATCAGCTGGAATTGCAGCTGTGAACTTCTGCTGACACAGTGGATGGGACAAGTACTTTAACAACTCTAAGATGCTTAGCAAGGGCTATGTGTAAGAAAAAACTCCTCTCTAAACCTTGTATCCCTGAAGGCTACTTCTGTGTCACTTTACAGTTGGTTTTAATGTTTCTTTTATTTTTTTCTCTTTCCGCAGAGCAGACCCCATGACTTCCAAAAGGGCAGGGCCTGTGGTAGTAACTAAGAGCCACGTTCTTATCTTTTAGGGGCCAACACTCCCTATGCAGCGCAGCCCACCAGCTATGACTACGATGCCCCACTGAACGAGGCAGGGGACCTTACTGAGAAATATTTTGCTGTGCGAAATGTTATCCAGAAGGTGGGTACTTTGTACAGGCCATGGTGGGGCTGGTCTTGAATAGAGCCTCTCTGGAAGCCACTGTGGCTTTGTAGGCAACTCCCTTCCTGGAGGCTTCATGTGTAAAAGAACAGATCAGAGAAGCATCTGGTAGACTTCGGTGGGCGTTTCGGTCACCACTTGACGAAGAGTGAGATTGAACTGAGCAAGATCACTCAACCAGTGTATTCATTCGTAAAACTGAGAATTCAGTACCTGCTTGTGTTGTTAAGGATTAGAAATAACATAAGAGGGGGCTTCAAAAAGTTCATGGAAAAATGGCAGGAAAAACAACAGTGGCATTTTTCAACAAACTTTTTGAAGCATCCAAAATAGTTTGTGACTCTTCTATGCCCAATAAGTGGAAGTCATTCCTATTAGCTAATAAATAGTGAAGGCAAGACGATGTGTGTGCTGCTAACCAAAAGGTTGACGGTTGGAGTCTACCCAGAGGCCCTTCCGGAGAAAAATCTGGCTATTTCCAAAGAATCAGTTCTTGAAAGCCCTGTGGAGCACAGTTCTACTCTGACACACATGGGTCACCGTGAGTCAGAATTGAATTGACAACAACCAGTTACTGGAACAAATTGTGGAGCACAGTGCAAATGTGAGCCATTGGCAATGCTTCTCTTTTCCTTTTGGGGCAAATAATTGCCATTTCCTTCTGGCCTGTCACCTGAACTGCTTAGCCCTGCCAACGACATGTCATTTTGAGGCACCTAAAGCACGCAGGTGGGGTTTCCTGTCTCTGCTGTGGGTTTTAAACAAAAAAAGAAGAACCCACAGTTTTTCTGCTCAGTCACCTGAGTTTTGAAGTTAAGAAAATAAAGGTTTTCTGCCTGTAAATGATATGTTGGTTTTTTTTGTTGTTAAAGTTGGTTGTACTCTCAGTTTTAAGCACAGATGTTAGATTTAAGATTTGTATTACGAAATAGTTTAAACCTATGGAAAACTGTGCTCCAGGTTTAACTACTCGTAGAACTTGTCCATTTCACCTAAATTTTTAAATGTATTCTTAAAATGTTACTTGTTATCCTTTTACGTACAGGTTTAATTTCTGCAGCAATTATAGTGATGAATCCCAACCTGTCTACTTATGTTTGTTCTTTGCTTCGAAACTTCCTGGTTTTGTTTTATGTCCTTCCTTTACCTGACGCTTAATCTTTTTTAATCCACCCTTCTTTTCTAATATGAACGTTCAGGGTTATACATTTCCTTCAAGTACTGCTACAGGTATGGCTCATAAATTTTGATATTTTTATTATTGTTTGCTTCTAAACATCTATTTTTAATTCTCTTTGATCAAGGAAATGTTTAGAAGTGTTATTTCTAACATGTTTACATTTGGGTTAGAGAATAGAGTTGGTATATGCAAAAATCATGCCAACTGTCCTTCCCAGAGCACTCTGTACTTCTCAGCTGCGTTCAAGAATTCACTGCAGTGGTCATATAGAGCTCAGACACCATCCTTACAGTTATTAGGTTAACAGATCACAGTGCAGGACCCAAACTGTGTTCTTTCAGTCTGCCTCTCCCCAGCCATACCCACAGGTGAGCCTCTCTCTGATAGTTGGCCTCTGCCCTGCTCCCACCTGTGTGCCAAAGCTCTTTTATGTCTGTTGATTACTGCCAAACAGTACTCAGCTTTACTTGCTCCATGGACTGAAAACCTACTTCTCTGTCTGCTGCTCTGGTTCTTGCTGCTCCTTTACCACTTCTCTGCTATTCCTCTGGTGTCTCAGCTTTCTGTTCCTGGAATGAGGAGGTTTAATACACGGAGACCTCAGCATCCAAAGGATATGCTCCACTCCTGGTTCTTCTTCTTTGATGGTAATGAGATTCCTCTTCCTGCTTCTGAAATGGATCATTTTATAGCCATGTTAGAATTCTAAGTTTTTACTATCACAATTAACCCTCATAACAACCATTCACAATGGAATCAAAGCATCCTATCAGCATTTTCTACCACTTTCTCATCTCTCAGGCCCACCAGAAAAAAAAAAATTGTTTGGTGGGAGTTAGGAAGACTATGGGTCGGTGAGCCATATGAAGTAATTTACTGCTATGCAGTGTGTTACCAATCCCTTAAAATTAATTGAGCCTCAAGATTAGGGAGTCCTGGTGGCACTATGGACTAGGTGCTGGGGCGTTCACCACAAGTTCAAATCCACCGGCCACTCTGCAAGAGAAAGGTGAGGCTGTCTGCTGCTGCAAAGGATTACAGTCATAGAAACCCTATATAGGATTGCTGTGAGTCAGAACTGACTCAATGGCATGTGGTTGTTTGTTTGTAGACTTGATTGGAGCTGAAGGAACCACTTCCACAGGCATTAACATAGTTTCTTGCCGTGTGGGCTTCTTCATCATATTGCTCACAACGTGGTTCCTCATAGTGAACTATCCATGACCCCCCCTCCCCGCTCCCCGCCCCACACACGACAGAATTTATTACCTAAGCTCAGAAAGCTAACTTCTCTTCCGTGACTGGAATACAGCAGAAGTAATGCAATGCACCCCACGCTCAAGGGGAAGGGAATTAAGGTCCATTTCTTAAGGGATAAATAGTAAAGAATTTGTGGGCATATCTTTATTTATTGTAAACTTTTTATTGTGATTTGGGTGGACGTTTATAGAGCAAATGGGTTTTCCATTCAACAATTCTTACATATATTTAATTCTTGACATTGATTGCTGTCCCCACCATGTAACAGCACTCTTTTCACTCCTTCCCTGTGTTTCATATCTATGTCTTCCTGCCATCTGAACTTCTGTTGTTGTTGTGAAGTACTGTGGAGTTGGTTCCGAATCATAGTGACCCTGCACAGGGTTTCCGAGGCTGCAAATATTTACTGGAGCAGAAAGCCTCATCTTTCTCCCGCGGAACAGCTGATAGTTTTGAACTGCCAACCTTGAGGTTAGCAGCCTGATTCGTAACCACTACGCTATAGATACATTTATATTTTGATAGATATTGCTAACCACTACGCTACCAGAGCTCCTTCTGAGCTTTATCCCTGGGCAAATGCTGTTCTTTTGCATTAGAATGGTTGGTGGTTCTAAGGAGTGTTTACCTCCCTGGTGTTATTGTTCATCTTATGGGTTTGTTTGAGCAAACAATAATTTGACTGAAAATTGAACTAGAGGGGCAGCTTAAAGGGTAACTAAGGTTCCACCAATCTCAATCAAACCATTAAGCCTGATCTTTTATTATGTGGAGTTTTGTTCCACATTTTTTCCTACTCTATCCAGGATCTCCTAATGTGATTCCTTCCAGAGCAGTCAGACACTGCCTAGCTCTTCTGGTCTCAGGGTCATGGGGCAGGGGTTTTGTGGTCCATTAGTCCTTTGTTTTTGATTTTGTAAACTTTTTTTTTTTTTGTAGCTTGGGTGGCCACTAGTTCTTTAGACTAATGGTTCCCATATGTCTTGATTTTCACCACTCTTTTTCGCGTCAGTCAAGGAGAGACCAATAGTTTTACCTTAGGTGGCCAGTTGTGGGCATCCCTTTAAAACTACATCCCGCTGTGCTCAGAGTCAAATTTGAGATGGGGAATCCTTAATCAAAATCACCTTACTGCTTAATCACAAGCACTGGGTTTGGTTTTGCCACTAATCCGATGATCAGTTAATTTTTTTTGTTTTGTTGTAACTTTTTAGGGCTTGATTTTTAAGAAATTGATTTTATTTATCTATATAAAGCTACAAAGTAAAAGCTTCCGTAAAAATTACAACCAAGAAAAGCCCTATGGGGCAGTTCTACTTTGTCACATGGGGTCTCTCTGAGTTTGAATCTATTTTACCGCACACAGCAGTAATTGGGATGTGCACTTGAGTTTAGGAGCCATTGGGTGCAGTGAAGGAAGAGATCTGAGGATGGAAGTACTTTTCAAATAGCTTCCTCTCAGTCCTCCTTATTTTAGCACCTTTACCTTCTAGCTCCAGAAGTATGTAGTGGTGTCAGTTTTGAGTCTTTTAATAATTACAGGCAAATTGGGTTAGTTCTTCATTTTCTCCCATGCTGGGTAAGGATTTGGCTTGCTTGCTACGCATTTGCAACTCCTTTGTACAATTTCTAGAAATGTTGCTTTTGTCTCTTGTTCTTCAATTCTTGTATATTTATGCCTTATCAAAAACCTGTCTGGTGAGATTTTAGTGGTGTTTTTGGAAATAATCTGGAATTGCTACTATTTAATGTAGTCAGTTTCTCATTGATGGGCATTTAGATTATTTCAGACTTTTTTAAAATGACATTCAGTAACAGTTCAAGGATAAACCAAAAACCAAACCCAGTGCTGTTGATTTAATTCTGATTCACTGTGACCCTAGATAGAGTTTCTGAAACATGTAATCTCTACCAGAGCAGCTAGCTTAACCTTTCTCCCTCAGAGCAGCTGGTAGGTTTGAAACACCAGCCTTTTCAGCTAACAGCCAATCACCTAACTCACACCACCAGCAGCTACAGGAAATGTCCTAGAAGTAGAATTTGAATTTGTGGTTCAAAGGTTGTTTGCATTTGACATTTTGATAAGTATTACCAAATTGCTCTTTAATGAGGTTACATCAGTTAAAAGTCTTATTTCCCCACATTTTTACCAATGCTGAATTATCAGACTTTTTTATCTTTACCATTTGATATGTGAAAAAGATAGTTTATATAAAAAACAAAAAAACTTTGTATTTCTTTAATGATGAGTACTTGAGTTGTGCATCCTTTTCATTTACTTATTGTCCATTTGTACCTTTTTTTTTAATTTGTAAGAATTCTTTTATGTGTGGTAATTTCCCCAAGTTTTTCTTTTTTTTTTCCTGCAAAAAAGCAATCTTGACTTTTTATATAGTCAAATGTATTGTTACTTTTGTCCTTTTTATGATTTCATCTTTCATGTTTAATATTTTATATAGAGAGAATTTCTGTTGTTGTAAGGAATGAGGTGTGTTGTTGTTGTTAAGTGCTGTCGAGTCGGTTCCGACCCATAGCAACC